TTCCCAGCATCAGACATGTGGTTAGGTGGTAGGGCTGGGATCAGAATCTAACTGGCCTAACTCCTAAGTCTCTGCTCCTAACCAATTCATTATTCAGTTGCACAGAGTTTGTACCTAATTCTTTATTCAGCCATAGCCTTACTGTTGAAAAATCAGATATCCAGAGGGAGTTTTTTGCTGCTGCAGATTATGACACAATGAGTATCTTTGTACCCACATTCTTATGTATCAGGGCAAGTCCAAAAAGTGAATCACTAGTCCAGAGTTTTACACGTTTTTAATTTTAACAGAAACTACTAATTTTAAAACATTTATTAAAGCAGGTCCAGCTTTCCCTTTTATAGTATCTGGATTTCCTATCTTACTAAGAAATGTCATCTCTATTCTGGTTACACAAATATTCTCCTCATCTCTTCAAATAGATATATATATTTAACTCATTTACAATTTAGTTTTTGTGTATTTTATGAAGAGGGCATCTCATTGGTTTTCTTATAAATGGACACCAAATTATACTAGCAGCGTTTATTAATTAAAACATCCTAGGGGCACCTGGGTGGCTCAGTGGGTTGGGCCTCTGCCTTCGGCTCAGGTCGTGATCTCAGGGGCCTGGGATCGGCCCCAGATCGGACTCTCTGCTCAGCAGGGAGCCTGCTTCCCCACCTCTCTCTCTCTGCCTGCCTCTCTGCCTGCTTGTGATCTCTGTCAAATAAATAAATGAAATCTTTTAAAAAAAAATCCTTTTCCCACTACAGTGAAATGTCACCCCTTCACATTTTAAACTCCTTATGTCATTCCCAAACTCCCTTCCTGTACTCAAACCAAATTACCTTTTTTTTTTAAAGATTTTTATTTATTTATTTGACAGAGATTCAGAGAGCACAAGCAAGGGGAGTGGTAGGCAGAGGGAAAGGGAGAAGCAGAGTTCCCGCAGAGCAGGGAGCCTGATGTGCAATTCGATCCCAGGACCCCAGGATCATGACCTGAGACAAGGCAGACGCCCAACTAACTGAGCCACCCAGGCACCCCATCAAACCAAATTACTTTTGATCTCAGGAAGTCTAATGTTTTTTCATTCACTTAATATAGGCCTTTCCCAGCTCTGTAAATCCAAAGAGCTGCCCATAAGGAGAAGCTGGATCTTAAAATCATGGTGTCACGACGAGAATCTGTGCAGGAGTGTTCTCTCAGAGAGGGAAGAAAATGCTTCCTGACTGAATGAGAGGCTGGTATCGTTCAACAATGGACCAACTCCAGGAAAGACATTCAGACGCCCGGGACCCAGTGATCATCTATAGGCAAACAAGTTGTTCACCTGGTTACAGACAGTTTTGCATCAACCACAGACAACTAACAGCCATCAAGCGGCCACACAAACTTGGGGTCTCTCTAAGAGAGGTACCAGGAGAGCGAAGCACGGTGTGCTCTGAAAAACCCTGCTGGCGTGTAATAAGTGCTCAGCAGATACTTGTTTCATGAATGAACACTTTTTGACTTCAAAGGGAGAGAAGACCCCGAGCTTCTGCCAAGCCATCCTGGCATATTCAAGCTTAGACCAAAGAAACATACAAGCATGGGGAAATGACTGTTCATACAGACCATGGTGGGATGGCCGATTAGGACCCACCCTAATTCAATATGACCTCATCCTAACTTGATCACATCTGCAAAGGCCCTATGTCCAAATAAATTCACACTCACTGGGTTCCAGGGGTTAGAACTTCACCATATCCTTTAAGGGAACACAATTCAGCCCATAACATCCCCTATAATCAATTTTCCACACAACAGTCATAATGATCCTCATGAATGTGCATCAGGCCCAAACACTCTCCTGCTTACAGGTCTGTGTCCTCTTCCTGCCTCTCAAACATTATCTCTTACACTCTAGCCACACAGGCCTTCTTTCTGTCAGTCCAACACACCACACTCATCCCTGCCTCAGGACCTCCGCCTGGAAAATTTGGTGCGCCGCCTTCTTCATCATTTCAAGTTACCACTCAAGTGTTACTTCATCACAGAAGCTTACTCTGATCATCTGCCTAAGCAGCACATCTCAGAGGTCTTCTCTTTCATATAACCCAAGTTTCTAAGCAGTATTTGCCAGTACCAGAAAGTATCTTATTTTTTTTTTATTTAAGCTCTTATTTGAACATAAGCTCTATTGAACCAGATTCCATTATTATAGCTCCAGATACTAAACTAGCGCCTTGCAAGTACTTTTCATTTTTATTTACTCAAATACGTCTTTTTCTTTGATGACACAAGGATTTTCTACTTCAGTCACAAAGATTAATTATACCCCTAAATTTTCTTGTAATTTTTTATCTTTTGTGTGTGTGATTCATTTAAATCTTTAATCCGTTTGGAATTAATCTTTGTATACTTGAGAAACAGAGGTCACATCAGATAATTCCGATGCAAAAAGTCTGCAATAATTCTGACTTATTGGCTAAAGCTCAAACACTTCTACATAGAATATGTTCTATAGGGGCGCCTGGGTGGCTCAGTGGGTTAAAGCCTCTGCCTTAGGCTCAGGTCGTGATCCCAGGGTCCTGGGATGGAGCCCCGCATTGGACTCTCTGCTCAGCAGGGAACCTGCTTCCTCCTCTCTCTCTCTCTCTGCCTGCTTTTCTGCCTACTTGTGATCTCTGTCAAATAAAATCTTAAAAAAAAAAAAAAAAAAAAAGAATATGTTCTATATGCAACCTTCCCTGAACTGACTGCCTCTGTCCCTCTGTTGTACCAATCTCCTGCTGATGACTCCATTTTATCCTGTCCACTGACTACACCAAAAAGTCCTAACGGGCCATCAAGAAGAGTTATGCTTGAGGGTCGCCTGGGTGGTTCAGTCGTTGGGCATGTGCCTTTGGCTCAGATCATGGTCCCAGCATCTGGGATCAAGCCCCGGGTCTGGCTCCCTGCTTGGTGGGAAGCCTGCTCCTCCCTCTCCAGCTCCCCTGTGCTTATGTTCCCTCTCTTCCTACCTCTCTCTGTCATAAATAAATAAAATCTTAAAAAAAAAATTATGCTTGAAATGCACTTCTCCATCTGCTTGAACTCCTTCCTACAAATCCTTAAAACCCCAGTTCTAAAGTCACCTCTCTTGGAAAGCCTTTCGAGTCCAACCCTAGAGTTCCTCACTTCCTTTTTTCTATCTCCACTTTTACATCCCTCTACTCTATAATATATAGTACCTACTTCATAAATATATAGAGTATTTAGATTAATGTTTAGTACACAATAAATGCTAAGTAAATATTAACTACTATTTTATTACCACAATAGGTTGCAATTATTTGTGTAATCTGCCTTCTAGACCAAAAGGGACAAAAGGCAGAGACACATTTATTTACCATTTTACCAAACCTACTGGTCTGGCACATATTAAGCACTAATAAGTACTAAACAAATTAATAAACAACACCTCAAAGCTGGACCAAAGTAATTTTCTTTGAAACTGTGGATTCCTTATATTTAAAAAAAAAAAGGAAACTTTTTCCATATACACTATGGAGTATTATGCCTCCATCAGAAGGGATGAATACCCAACTTTTGTATCAACATGGACGGGACTGGAAGAGATTATGCTGAGTGAAATAAGTCAAGCAGAGAGAGTCAATTATCATATGGTTTCACTTATTTGTGGAGCATAACAAATAGCATGGAGGACAAGGGGAGATGGAGAGGAGAAGGGAGTTGAGGGAAATTGTAAGGGGAGGTGAACCATGAGAGACTATGGACTCTGAAAAACAATCTGAGGGTTTTGAACGGGCGGGGGCTGGGAGGTTGGGGGAACCAGGTGGTGGGTATTAGAGAGGGCACGGATTGCATGGAGCACTGGGTGTGGTGCAAAAACAATGAATACTGTTACGCTGAAAATAAATAAATAAATAAATAATAGAATATTGGGGGGGTACTTTTAAGATGAAAAATAAGCCTGCCCCTCCTGCTTTTTGATTTGGTTCAAATTCGAGGAGTGAGGGGAGAGTCCAGCTTTACCCACATCCAGAAAGAAAATTTTAGGTGCTCCATGGCTACCATTGTATAACCCATTATACTGGAAATGAAAACAATGGCATTTTTAAAAGAGAGGGGAATTTAAAACTTTTTGTCTTATTTTGAACGCAGTCAGACATGTTTTAACCTCAGGTGAATTCATAACCTCACATTCGCCTGGCCCCGAACCTCACATACGGAAACTTAACAGTTTCATAAGTTGAAATGTCATCTTCATTCCATAAATGTCAACTTCATTTCGTAAGTTGAATGTCAACTGTGGGATGAAGGAGAAGCCGCACTGGTGAAAACGCAGGGGCTGTGAGGTCTAGCTGCCTTCTCCACGAAGAGTCTCTGTCCACAACAACCTCAGAGAATCACAGGATTCTTACACTGGGTACGACAGGATTCCTCAGATCCGGTATCCCCTAAGCTAGCGCTGCAGAGACTGAGCAAACGGCCCTGGGTTTGTCAGTGGCTGCAAGGAACTGAGGTGACCACAACCCACAGGAAAACAGGCGGAGAGAAGCTTCAAGCGGGAAAAATGAAGTGTACAGATGCTACGTGCGGAGAAAAGGAAAAAGAAAAGCAGCTGGAGGGTAGCTAAGTCAGGAACACCGCCACTTCTCATCGCCACCTCCAATTCTGGCATCTAATGACTACACCCGCCGAGTTCACGCTCTTCTTCCAGCTCCAGGGCGAGCCAAGACACCGCCTACCCACTGGAGAGCCGCGAGGGGGGCAGGCGGGAGCGGCCGCCGCCTCCCGGACTCACCCACTCTCGGTGCCTCACGTCTCCGTGGAAAAGCCTGGACTCAGGCCAGGTTTTCGGAGTCAGCCTCCGGCGGGCCGCAATGTTCGATTTCTCCCCTCCCCCGCCCCGAGACCGCCGACCGGCGTCCCGGCTTCCGTAGGCGGGCGGCTTGGTGGACCCGGATGTTGATATGCGACCTGCCCCGGAAACGGTGGCGGGTGGCCCAAGAGGGCGGAGGTGGGGTTGCCCGGCTCTCCGGAAGGAGACGTGGCGGCGGTTGGGCCCCCGGCTGCCTGGGTGCTTAGAAGTCCCGCCGCCTCCTCCTCCTCCTCCCCCTCCTCTCCTCTATGGGAAGAGGAGGTTGTGGCGGCGGCTGGAGAAATCGGCAGCGGAGGATGGAGGAAGGAGGAGGCGGCGCGCGTAGTCTGGTCGCAGGCGGGCCGGTGTTATTGGTCCTCTGCGGCCTCCTAGAGGCGTCCGGTGGCGGCCGAGCGCTCCCCCAGCTCAGCGATGACATCCCTTTCCGAGTCAACTGGCCCGGCACCGAGTTCTCTCTGGTCAGTGCCCTCGCGAATCCTGTAGCCATCTCTGTCCCTCCTAGCACTAGGGTTTGGCCCTTCCCTCGGTACCTGCGCTTTTCTCCAGAACCACCTCTGCAGGCGAATGCCTCCTTCCCTAATCCAAAGGTTCATTTACCTCGCATTCATTCATTCATACAGCAAGTGTTTAGCGAACACATTATGTGGTTTTGCCCTCCATGCTAAGCACTGAGGATCCAGCGGTCACCTGCTCTGCCCCTTTTCAGTATGGCTCATTAGACAGTGCTTACCAACACTCCCACCCCGTGGAAGAAGCTTTCTTAGAATCACGTCAGACACAGGTATTTATCTTCTCTTTAGAAAGTCAGCTGCAGTTCTTCCTCCACCAGCCGCCTTCTCTCCTTCAGTAGTTCCACCCTACCTACAAAACCGATGGTACTGCAGATACGAGTTCCCTCTCATACTGGTTATTTCTGTCTTGTATACACACACGTGCATATGTACATTCTCACAGCTCTTTCTCCTTCAGGGTTGTTTCCGAGAGGGCTATTTGGCCTTTGAGATGTTAATGACATTCTACTCAGAATAAGCAGTACAGCGCCGATGTATTACGACTGTTATTTAACACCCCAGAATTTGAGATTCCGTGATCAGTTTTCCTAGAGATGAACATTTTTATAACCTCACGGTAACGAAAATGTGCGATCCTTCTGTCTTTAGGGATTACTCTGCTTTAAAGTCTTCCTACCACTGTAGACCAATTAAAAAAAAAAAAACAAAAAAACTGTGCTCTTAAGATGCTTACCGTGTAGTAATTAATTTATTTATTTCAAATTGAAGTCTTGGAACATACAAAAGCTTTTTTAAAATTCTTGTTCCAGTTACCTGCAGTCATTCTACTTGTTTTGTTTTGTTCTATTACCATACTGTTCTATTACTAATTCGTTGAAACAAGAGTAAGTGATAGCATGATGTCAAAGCAAGATTTACCAGGACAACAGATGTTATGGTTACCACAACAGCTTTCCATTTACAAATGGTAGTTTTTGCAAATATTTCACACTCTTCTGTTTCTCCACCCCTCTTCTTTTCAGTTCTCCTGCTCTGGTAGTTCCGTGGTTCTCAACATTATCTAAATAAATATTTCTCTGAAAGGCCAGGTTTATTTTTGTATTAATGCCATGAAATATTATTGTATTAAAATACTTAGAGGGTGCCTGGGTGGCTCAGTTGGTTAAGTGTCTTCCTTCAGCTGGGGTCATGATCCCAGCGGCCTGGTATCAAGTCCCAAGTCGAGTTCCCTGCTTAGTGGGCAGTCTGCTTCTCCCTCTCACTCTGCCCCTCCCCACTCCTGTGCTCTCTCCCTCTGTCTCTCAAATAAATAAATAAAATCTTTAAAAAAATAAAATACTTATATAAAAGCTTGTTGTAAGTGAGATATAACTTTAGCAGTCTTGAAGTGATTATAATTTAATCCAACTTCTGTTGTCCTTTCAAAAGACTACACAGGATAAACATGGGAAGTGTTACAGAAAGTGGTCATTAAATATTTTACTCTTGCACCTGTCGGGTTTTTTTTTTTTTTTAAGATTTTATCAATTTGTGAGAGAGGCAGAGAGAGCACAAGCAAGGGGAGGCAGAGAGGCAGAGGGACAAGTAGACTCCAGGCTGAGCAGGGAGCCCAACCTGGAACTCAGTCCCTGGACCCCAAAATCTTGACCTGAGCTGAAGTCAGACACTTAACTGACTGAGCCACACAGGAGCCCTGTTTTTGTTTTGTTTTTTTAATTTAAAAATTACATGCGGATATGCAGCCCTGAAAACTTCCTGACTTTTAAATGGATAACTAAAACTGGCCTTTTTAGAGGTTACTACCAAATGTTACTCTGTTTTCTTTCTGGCACTGGTGTTTGCTGGCTAAAAAGAGGTTATGGAAGATCTGTCTTACATGTATCCGGTACCAACCTCCCACATGTCTGTCAATGTTATTTTGAATTTTAATTTTTAATTCTCTTTGGCAGTGTAACGTAATCTAAGATGGACACATCCGAAGTGTTTTTTTTCTTTTCTTTTCTTTTTTTTAAGTTATTTTGAGGGACGCCAGGGTGGCTCATCAGTTAAGTGTCCACCTTCAGCTCAGGTCATGATCCCAGGACCTGGGATGGAGTCCCACATCCCCATCAGGCTCCTTGCTCAGCAGGGAGCCTGCTGCTTCCTCTGCCTGCTGCTCCCCCTGCTTGTGCCCCACCATTTTCTAACAAATAAATAAAATCTTTAAAAAAATTTTTTTTAAGTTATTTTGAGGAAAATCTAGAGACCTTTTTCTCTGAGTTGGCAAAATATCTGTGGCCCTCATGTAAAAATAAACTGTAAGAGTTCTTTATCATTGGCCTTTGGGTTTTGTTTTAGTACTATTTAATCTTAAGGCTTTCCTTCCCTACTTTATGTAATTGACATTACAGCCCTCCTCACCTGGCACTGTCATTTTCTTTTATGGGCCATTTGGTTGGACTTCTATAACTAAGCAGCTGTATGAACTAGAATAAGGGCCTTTAATCTCTCTACTATCTGAAATTGGAAGAGACTAGATTAGAAGATGTGAATTTTATTTTTTAGTCTTAAAATTCTTCTGTACTTAAATCATCTCCCCATTCAGATATATCAAAACAATATATAATCTTTAGGGGCGCCTGGGTGGCTCAGTGGGTTAAAGCCTCTGCCTTTGGCTCAGGTCATGATCCCGGGGTCCTGGGATCGAGCCCCACGTCGGGCTCTCTGCTCCACAGGGAGCCTGCTTTCTCCCCTCTCTCTCTCTCTGCCTGCCTCTCTGCCTACTTGTGATCTCTCTCTCTCTCTCTGTCAAATAAATTAAAATTTTTTTTAATATATATATAATCTTTATAATCTTTCTTTCAAATTTACTTAGAAAAATTATTAAGCACCAAAGCTGTATATATTTTTAATGTTTTTGTTAACTAGTTAATGACTATGATATTCCTTTTTTACTGGTTTTTAGCATTCAGTTTTTTTGTGTGTATATATTTTTCTTCTGAAATACCATCGGTGTCATTAAACTATTCAATTCTTCATTACTTCACAGAGTTCACAGATTTCACCAAAGTAAAAAACCACAGAATAAGTCCAGTTTTGCCTTTACTTCTCTTGGAAATGTATTCCCACTCAAAAATTTCCTATGGGGTACCTGGGTAGCTTAGTCAGTTAAGCCTCCAACTCTGGATCTCAGCTCAGATCTTGATTTCAGGGTCATGAGTTCAGGCCCTGCATTGGGCTCTGAGCCTACTTTAATTAAAAAAAAAAGAAAAAAAATTACCCGAACACTATGCTTGGGAAGAATGGTAACCAACTCCATAGTTCCAAGCATGTCTGTGTTTTTTTTCCCAAGCATGTCTATATATGCTGAGAAGTTGTACCACTGAGTTTATTTTACAGCTTCTCTCTTTTGTCTCTCATCCTCAATCTTAATTCTTCCAGACTCTTGTCAAACATTAGGAATTTCTCTCCTGCCAACATATTTTTTAAGTTTTTTAACCTTAAAGTACCATGCCCCCTTGGATTAGTTTCATTATATTAATATCTGATTTTTATCAAATCACTAATAAGACCTCTTACATGGAAAATACATTAAGGTGTTATATGGAACAACTTTTTTACACTATCTGCAATTCTGTACATTCAGAATTCATTATATTTCATTTTCCTAAGGAACTGTTTTACTAAATTTAAAAAAAAAAAAAAACATTTTTAGTAGCAGGTCAAAAAAAGTTTTTTTAACTTAGAAAATCAGAAGAGGTAAACTTTTTCCAAGTAATTTCTGTTCTGAAAAAGAGGGTAAAATTTGTTAAAATTTTTAGTTTGTGATCCCAATAAGTGACTCACTATTTCAACAGTTTTCAGATAGAGGAATTGCTCCTTGATCCGTTTTATTGACGAGGAAAGCAACCCTTCCAAAACTAATGAAAGACAAATCTTTGCATCTTCAAACAAGTGATGGCTTTTATTTCTTATTACCCCTTACCTAGACCTTAAAAACAGTAGACAGAATATAGCTGGGACACAGGCAAGCAAAAGCACCCAGGCCTGGGGATTCCAAACAGAACGAGGTTCTGCCACTCACAGCTGACAAAATCCAAACTCAGAGAAATGAATGATGGTGAAACAAGAAAGGATTTATTTCAGTGAGGCCAGCACTGAGAAGACAGCAGACTGGCAATTCAAAGACTGTCTCCAAAGTGCTAAAAATATATATGTTTATATATGAAAAATATGGGGCATAGGTGGCATGGGTATGTTCAGGGAGGCATTAAAGGTCAAATCAAACCTTGTCTTAGAGTCAGTCATGGGAAGGCAGACGTCTTGCTGGCTCAGACGGTCCTTTTTGGCTGAGGGGGTAGTTGAGGTTCCCATCAGAGGATGCTTTGCCCCCTGGATCTTCCAGCCTGAGCCAAGAGACAAGCTAGAAGGAAACACCCAACTAGAAAGTTTGAGGTCAAAATGGAGGTAGCCGAAGTCCTTTTCCAAGAGGAATGAATTTCTTAACATATAGACATAAAGCCCCAAGAGTGATTTTTATTACAAAGAAAGGATTGTCTTACTGTCTTTGCTGTGGTTCCAAGCGAGCAGTTGTTTTTCCGTTGTTGGCATTGTGCTGAATGTTTTAGTAAATAAGTCAGTATTGCTGGGGAATTCAATTCTGAACATTAAAGTTGCAGGTACTTCACAAATAGAGGTAAAAATACACTTAAGTCATATGCTACTGGTTGCCTTCGCTACCGTACAGGAATGATAAGGCAAGGCTTCAGGCCAGCCATTGCTAAGCAAGTGTGAGTCATGATTTTAACAACTTTGCATACATTCTGCATCTATTGGAAAAATGTGGAAAACCATTGTAAATGTTATGTCTTATAGCAATTTGTTGGCACAACTGAATAAATGGTTCTAAGGATCCCTTTTTCATAAGTTTGGTTTTGCAACTCTCAAATCTCTTTGGTTCCCCTCTTCATTTACAATGGTCTTTTAAATGAAAGGATCCTTCATCATAATCCAGGAGCCTATACAGTAATCTAAAAAAATGTTAACAAACGCTGATTCAAATATGTTAAAACAGTTAAGAGCACACAGAATATGGAACCAGTCTGACTGGGTTCATCTCTGTACTGTGGTACTTACAAGCTGTGTTACCTTGTACAAATTTCTTTTTTTTAAGATTTTATTTATTTGAAAGAGAGAGAGTATGTGTGCGTGCGCACGTGGGCACAGCAGGGGGGAGCAGTAGAGGCTGAGGGAGGAGTGGGCTCCCTGCTGAGCAGGGAGAACCTAAACAGACTAAGCCACCCAGGTGTCCTGCCTTGTACAAATTATTTAATCTCTGGGTTTCAGTTTCCTTTTCTGAAGATGGGTAGAAAGCCTGTCTTGAAGATTGGTGAGTTAAAAATGTTAAGGATTTAAAACTTCAATATAGCTAATACAGCTTGTATTTACTACTATTTTTTGTTTTGTTTTATTGTCTTAGAAAAACATTGCCCTAATTTGCATTTGTGTGTGAGATAACATTGGATCAAGTAGTACTTGTTTTATTAAGGTTATGAGTCCTTCTTGTTAAACTGAGAAAAGAAGAGTTACTTAATAAGAGTGGTTCGTTCTTCGTGAGGGATAGCCAAATGGTATAGTGGTTTCACACTATGGTAAGATGAGAAGTTGAGTTGAATTATCACAGAACACATATCACAGAACATAAAAACCTCTGTCTTAGTGACACATCTACTATCACAAAGCAAAGATTTCTTTTTGGTTAAATAATGTGAGTTATATTAATTGAAATGTTCATTTGAATTACAGTGATTCCTGTTTGGCTTGTGAATTTGTTTGGTTTTATATTGTGAAAGTTTGAATAGTTTCGTTGATACATACCAGGAATTGGCAAACTACACCTTTGTGTTGGCCAGCCATCTATTTTTGTAAATAAAGTTTTTTTCAGGACACAGCCATACCTGTTCATTTTCCTATTGCTTATGCAATGTCTTACTACAATTGATAGTTGGGTAGTTGAAACAGAGATCATATGGCCCACAAAGTCTAAAATATTTACTACCTGCCCCTTTATAGAAAGAGTTTGCTGACCCAGGATATATACTAAAAAAAAAGTTAAGTCAGAACAGAAGATCTATTTTTCTTTTTCTTTTCTTTTCTTTTTTTTTTTTTTAAAGATTTTATTTATTTATTTGAGAGAGAGAGAGAGCACGTGTGCACAAGCCTGGGAGAGAGGCAGACGGAGACAGAGAGGGAGAAACAGACTCACCACCAAGCAGGAAGTCCCAACGCAGACTCAATTTCAGGACCCTAGGATCATGACCTGATCCAAAGGCAGAGGCTTAACCTACTGAGTCCCCCAGGCACCCCTGGAGATTTTTCTTTTAAAAGTAATTTATCCACATATGAAAAATTATGCACCACTATTATATTCAAGTGTCCCTTCCAACAGAATTGAGAGTACATTTGTAAAGTGCTGTTGGTTCTCACATATAGGTGGTAATTGTTAATAGGAGTAATAAGTATTCAGTAATGATGTATCAGTAAACATTCATTGCCTCTTAAAGCATTTTTTTGAGGATTTATTTATTTGAAAGAGAGCTTTGGGGGAATGGGGGGTGCAGAGGGAGAGAAAGAGAAACCCAAGCAGAGCATGGAGCCCATGCAGGGCTTGATCTTAACCACGCTGAGCTGAGACCAAGAGCCAGATGCTTAACCCACTATGCCACCCAATTTCTCCGCCTGTTAATCCTGTTTAATCCCTATTTTAACTTCAGTCTGTTGCATTACTACTTTCTTCTTTATGTTCCAAGTTTCATTTTCGTTCATTTTTTTTCTCTGTTATAAAGTGTGTCATCCTCATTTTGATCTTAAATAATATGTGGAATATTTCCCCCTTAAAAATCTTCTCTTGACGTGATGAATTACTTTGACCTAAGACTGTAGTTTATTCAATGTAATACAACTTAACCAAAAAAAAAAAACAAAAACTGTATTTTTTGTTCTATTCTAGCCTACAACTGGAGTTTTGTATAAAGAAGATAATTACGTCATCATGACAACTACACATAAAGAAAAATATAAATGCATTCTGCCCCTTGTGACAAATGGGGATGAGGTAACTTTTTATAAATATATAAATAATTCCTGTCACCAAAGATGCATATTTAAAACATTGCAAACACATATTTTAAAGTAAAACTGAATGAAAAGTTTCTCAGTAACCCTGTTTATCATAAAAGTAGTAATCACTTTTATTTTTCTTGAATTCTTTGATTCTACAGTTCAACTTGGGAAAATTGGCAACCAACTATTCATAGTTTTAAAGAAAATCTAATTCCACTCTTGCTTTCTTTAATAGAAACGAGGGTTTTGAAAGCATTTTTTTTTTAAGATTTTATTTATTTATTTGACAGACAGAGATCACAAGTAGGCAGAGAGGCAGGCAGAGAGAGAGGAAGGGAAGCAGGCTCCCTGCTGAGCAGAGAGCCCAATGCGGGACTCGATCCCAGGACCCTGGGATCATGACCTGAGCTGAAGGCAGCGGCTTAACCCACTGAGCCACCCAGGCGCCCAGAAATGAGGGTTTTGAAACAGGATATAATTTTTAAATAAAATTATGACATTTTTTATAAAGAATTTCTAACAACAAATTTATAGGTACCTATGCTTTTTCCCTACCTTAGCTCATGCCCGTTTCTTCCTCCCAGAACTGCCCTAACTGCCTCTTATCCATCCTTCAAGGCAATGACTTCTTTCAAGATGAAACAGGAGAGTCAGCATGGTAAAATGAAAAGGACACCAGCCTAGGAGCCAGGAGGCTGAGGTATAGGCTACAGTTAGCTGTGGAACCTTGAACAAATTTGAAACTCAGTTCTTCCACTCAATAAATTTATTGAGCTATTTATGTAATACTTTCACAGTCTGTAAAATAGAAATACTACAAACTCAGTGAGTGCTTTCCTAGGTTTTGTTCAGATTTGAAATCTGTGAAAGATAGCTCTGTTCATTTTGTTTTAAATTTTATTAAGACACAAATACACATGTGCACAATCATCTGCATATGCATATGGCATTCAAGTCTGAAATGTAAAAATATATAGGAAACTTTTCTATACCTTCTAAAAGATTCAACTATTCTAAGGCTTTTGTAGTTAGAATTTGTTCAGATGCAAATATTTAAAACTTCTGAAATAGTTTCATAAGAATTGTTCAGGAAACTGATACTCAGAAACCTTTTTTTTAAGAGAAGAAAGAATGAAAGATTATATGGCTCCTTATTTTATACTTCAATTCTTTTGAAAGAAGTGGCAAACCATAGGACATTTTTAAAAGTTTTGACTGTTTTTCCCCTTTTATTTCCAAGCATTTGTGATTTGAACAATGAGTTAATACCCAAACAGCAGAGTTGGGTGAAATTCTAGATAATTGTAAGTATTAAATCCTAGTTCTTTCATAGGAAGAAGAAAAGGATTATAAAGGCCCTAATCCAAGAGAGCTATTGGAGCCGCTATTTAAACAAAGCAGTTGTTCCTACAGAGTACGTATTTTATGTTCACTTAATAAGTAGAAAATAAATTTCCAATAGCCAGTAGACCTTTGAAAATAATTCTGCATTTCTTTTTACTTTATTATGTTGTATCATATTTTAAGTTCATTGTAAATCAAAGATATTGCTTAGTAGTATTTTGTTCATTTTAATTCCTGTATAGTAGATGCAGCAAACACCCAGTAACACCATTTTCAAATAATATCACTTCCCAAATTGTCCTGAATGTTTTTCAGATCAAAAGAAAATTTCCTTATACACAGTTTTAATAAAAAATGCTAATTCTTATTTTTTAGACTATGTATAAAACGGTCCCTAAGCCAGGTGGTTACTACAGATCCCAGGTATAGTCTAGACCTGTTTTCTTCACAGAATTTTCACAAAGATTTAATTAGTAAAAACAATGACTAGGCTTCAGAATCTTCACATTTTTCTGAGGCATAATAATCTTTCATTTAATGAAAGCTTACTCTAAATCTTGAGGGAAATCTACTCAACTACATAAAATATCAAAAAGTAATTCAGTTGAATTCTATGACTTTTGTATATTTAAATACATCCATTTTTCTTAGATTGAGTCTTATTGGACTTACGAAGTATGTCATGGAAAACACATTCGACAATACCATGAAGAGAAAGAAAGTGGTCAGGTATGTTTTTCTTCAAAATGTGAAGTATGGAACATTATAAAATGAGAACTTTAATAATGAGATTGATGATTTTAAAGTTGTGTTCTAGGTATTTGCAAAATACTTACTATATTTTTATTTTATTCCAATATAGAAAGTAAATATTCACGAGTACTACCTTGGGAATATGTTGGCTAAGAACCTTCTATCTGAAAAAGGTTTGTTTCTACAGAGTGATGTGATAGTAATGCTGTAATTTCATTGAAAGCATATGTTGAAATTGGAATTTAAAAGATCTTTTAGGAAACCGTATGCATTTTAAAACACTAAAATAAATTTCTGAACAATCCCTTAGAAAACTTTTTCGAAGAGATCTTTTCATTATTTTCTATGTCAACAAACATTATGCTTTTTGTCTACAAATTTTTCAAAATCTGGTAAGATAACACATGTTATCTTTATATCTTTATCTGTTATATAGTGTTAATGTTAGTGTTTTGCTTACTGTAAGCCTAGTTGCTGTACATGAAAATAGAAATGTAGATGTGTCTCTAAAATTGTGAAATATTTTTGTTAATCTGTGTTATTCAAAGTCAACTAATTTAAGATTAAAATTCTCACTGATATAAAAATACTTCAAAAGAAAATTGTTATGGCCATTTTTATGCCTCAAATAGAGTATTTCTTAGGTAAAGATGTAAGGATTAAATTTGAATGTCCTTTCAAACAAAACCATTTCAAGGCAACTAGTTAAAAGCAGTATGATAAAAATTATATGTATGTTTTCTATCTTTTCTTAGAAAGAAATTTAAAATTATGAAGTTGGTTGAAAACTTAATCATTTGTATTTTGTATTTAAGTCACTGGTCATTCTTTACACCTACCTTACATAGGTCATATCTTATATTATTCCACAGATCAAGAGTCAGATGAAAAGGAAAAATCAAAAGAGGCAAGTGACAAGTGTTGATTTTTTTCACTTTTAACATCTGTTATTAGTGAGACCTGAATTTGCACTGCTGAAATGACAGAATTTAAATGACAGAATGTAGCCGTACATTCTTTACCTGTCTATCAAATACCTCAAAGGATTGGGCCAAAGAAAACGTGCAGTATGTTAGGTTTTTCTGAGAATAGTTATACTGTGATACTCTCTTTACTTTTAGAATCATAGGAAAATTAAGGAACTTGCCAAAGATGTGTCTGGGAAAGTTTTCGTAATGGCACTGTATCACTTCCAGGCTTCACAGTAGTTCCCTCTGTTTAACATTGGAAACAATTATAAATAAGAGCTTTTGCTTTTTTCCCCTGCTTTGGTCCCTGTCTCCCATGGGTAAAACAGATAAACTACATATGTAAATAACAAGCTACCAGACTGCAAGCATCTTCAAAGCAGGGACTGTCTTTTATCTCTTTACCCTGCAGTGCAAAGCACAGTGCTAGATATAATATAGGCACTTCGTAAGTGTGTACTGAATGTGAATGCATAATTGATGACTGAAAAATAGGATTGTTTAAAAAGAATGATTCCTTAGGGTACCTAATCACAATTTTTAAATGCCCCTGTAGTTCAAGGAATGCATTCTGAATCCTAAGAACTCCCATAGAATTAAATAACCTATTGTTAGAGGATATTTCTGTAAGTGGTTTTATCTCATAATGATGATTTTATTAGAAGAAAAGTGAAATGGCAAAAGGCCTTAAAAGGGATGCCTATAACTTAAAAGGGTGGCTTTGGGGGGAATTGATAAGCTAAGCATGGACACACATAGCATTGCTATTTTAAAAGATTTTAATTTTACAGACTACCTTTGAGATAAAATATTTATTTACTGTGGCTCTGGAGGATAGCAAGATGGAATTCAAAGTGTGAAATGATAAAGGAAGAGGAAGAAAAGGGTAAGGGAAGAAAACTAACATTTACTGAGCCCCAATCTGTAAGCCACATACTGTGTCAGGCATGTAACAAATGGTAATGTTTAATTTTTCCCACAACCTCTGAGTATATATTATTATTTTCCTTTTACAAATGACAAAAACTGAAATTTGGTCAAAGTCAGAAAGCCAGTAAATTCAAAGCTTGGCTTCGAACCCAGGATTTTCTAATTCTAGATACTAGCATGAAAATAGCATACAAGAAACCAAAATATTTTTTTCCTGGAAACATTTGTTTATTGCCTATTTTAGATAGGGCGCTGACAGGGTACCAAAGTGATACAAGATGAGCTCCCTGCCTCCAAAGAGCTTGCTTGGAGATACTATTAACAGTATATTTTTTAGAGCCCTTATATTAGATTTTTCTTTGGTTTATGTAGATAAAATATGGGAGCTAGCTCCTTAATAATCCTTGTCTTCTGAGGTAATCTATTTTGTTCCTCCATTCCATGAACATTTCTTCATTTGTCCTTTGCTGGCCTTGAAAAGATTTATATGGGAGTTTATGTTGAAAAGTATGGCTTTTAATATTAATGACAGGGAAAAAGAGTAAGTAGCTTAATGAATGAGTACAGTATTAAGATTCCTGTTTTAGAAGATACTGTTTTACTAAGTAGCCCCACTTTGACAAATCAGACTTCAGACCTCTAGAATCTAAAGTATAACACAGCCATTCACTGAGAATTTAGTATAGAAAATTCTGACTATTCCAGTAGAGTAAGTTCCTGTATTTTATCTTAATCTCTTTCTTTAGAAGTGTTAGAAGTAATTCATATTAATCAAGAGATTATATCCTTTTATATAAATGTACACTTATCTTACATCTTAATTTTAGCACCAAATAAAATTTCCCTTTTTTCTATATAAAACTAGGTCTGAAAATAAGTATTAGCTCAAATAAGAGTTTAGGAATCAAAAGAATGTTAGAGGAAGAATTTATAGAAAATATAGAAATGTTACTTTTATAAATGTTAGTTTATAAATAAAATGTAGTTTTCTTCCTTTAAGAATAAGTGTTTCTCCCATCCTCACCCCTACCTCCATTTCTAATAAAAAGTCTGTCTTACACTCTTTTTTTTTTTTTTTTTAGATTCCCACTAAAAATATCGAAGGTCAGATGACACCCTACTATCCTGTGGGAATGGGAAATGGTACACCTTGTAGTTTGAAACAGAACCGGCCCAGATCAAGTACAGTGATGTACATATGTCATCCTGAATCTAAGCATGAAATTCTTTCAGTAGCTGAAGTTACAACTTGTGAATATGAAGTTGTCATTTTGACACCACTCTTGTGCAATCATCCTAAATATAGGTAGGATGTGGATTTAATATTTTAAACACGAAATGCTCACATGCTTTAAAGTGCCATATGCTTAGCTTTAATGCTTTGTTCTTACTGAATAGATTCAGAGCATCCCCTGTGAATGACATATTTTGCCAGTCCCTGCCAGGATCACCATTCAAACCCCTCACCCTGAGGCAATTGGAACAGCAGGAAGAAATATTAAGGGTGCCTTTCAGGAGAAATAAAGAGGTATGAGAATTATCTAATGGTATTTTCTCAGTGCTTTCTTTTCCAAAATTCAGAGCATGTATCAATTATTTAATAATTCCTTAGCATAGTAATAGTAATTTATTTTTCTGACTCAAATTTTAAGTTCTAATATTTTAACTGATTTTAATTATTTTCCTAATTCTTGTACTTCTCAGAAACTATTTTATCATTCTCTTACTCTGATGATTTCATACTCTAGAGTTTGACATCCTATTAATTGTGGTGAAGTTGAATTTTTAGGTAGTTAAATGGACTTCCCCGTTGGGCCCCTTGAAGAAACAGACTACAACTCATCTTCTAATGCATTATTTCTTCAACCCATTACTCTATGTCATCAAACCACCATTCTTCTGAAACTTCTTATTCAACATCAGTCTTTTGGGTCTTAGTTCACTGGACATATGCATAACTTGATCTTAGCACATAAAACACTGAACATGTGAAGCTTGAACTTTCTCTCCTTCCTTTACTTGAAGTCATTCTCTCTGGTTCTCTCTGTTCTCCTCTCCTGTGTATTAGGTCTTTGTCTACTTCCTCCTACAGAAAATGTTGATGTTCCCCACAGTTCTAGCCTAGTTCCTTCTCTCTGTAGTGTGTATAGTCCATCTCAAGTGAACTCATCCAGGCCCATTCTGTTAACTTCCTTTAATACGCCCATGAGTTTCAAATATACATCTTCAACGTTGACCTTTCCCCTGAACTCAAACCACAGTCACAGTAGTTTAACGTGGATTGCATATTAACAGCTGTTATCTAATCCTCACAGCAACCTACAAGCTATACTATTATCACCCTCCTTAACAGATTAGGAAATTGAGGTTCAGAGAAGGGAAATGATAAATGATGGGTTAGAGATGAAGATCAAAACAGTGAGGTTCTAGAACCTGTCCTCTTAACCACTTCTCGATGTTGCTTCTCCTTTTCCATGTGCTATATGATCTTTTCCTAATCTCCCCTATTTTTTTAAAATTTTCATTCATTTACTTATTTATTTATTTTTACGTAATCTCCACACCCAGCGCAGAGTTTGAACTCACAATCCCAGGATTAAGAGTCACATGCTTCCTAATGAGCCAGCCAGGCATCTCTTCCTCCATGTTTTTAAAGCCGTGTTACTTCCTTTGCAAATGAGAGAGGACTTCTAATGAATTATCCCAGGAAGAGATCAGTGTTTCCTCTTTTTTGATCTTGTATTTTACTCAGTCCTCCATTATAGCACTTACATGGCTAAAATTGGTTGATTTTCCTATGATTCTTACATTAAGATCAAGGGAGAATATGCTATGCTTTATTACTTTGAGGTTTCCAGCTCCTTGAATGATACCTGGTATGCTGTGGGTACTTAGTAATGGTTTAATTAACTAATAACTAACCTTGAGCTGCAAAGCCTTTTTCTCCTTTCTTTTGAGTACTTCTGGTAAAAGTATTGCCCAATTCTTTGTAGTTGTTGTGAACACTGCCATTCTGATAGGAAGGAAAAATTACCTTATTAATCTGTGTTTGATTTGAAGTGCTCAATTAAGAGATTGGACATGGATTTCTCTTCTTGTGTCTCACTGAGGGTGATTTAAATACTGACAGGTACTTAGAAGTCAGCTTAATCAAAATGCTTCACAAATCCTAACTTTAATTACTCTTCAGAGAAGAAATGGCGCTTACTTTTCTCTAATTAATCTGTTTAATCTGCCATTTGAGAAAAATTTCTTTTAAAAAGCTACAGATGATAATACTTTCAAAATGCTTAGGACCTTTAGAATACATGTTGTAGATGAAAACTTTAGGTAATGCTGTAGGGCAAGTAGTTATTTAAAATGATATTTTTCTCAGGATCCTTTCCTTTATAAATCTAGTTAATTATGCATAACTTTTTTTTAAAAATGATATTTGTCATATGGTTTGCCTTTTAAATGTGGAATAAACGTAACCATAAAGATAATGAATTTTTTTTCTGTTTTAAACAAAAATACATATCTGGCTATCAGAATTTTGTTTTGATATTAATACCTGTTACTTTTGTTTTGTTTGACATGAAGTGGTTTATTAAGGGGCATTAGGACTGAAGCCTATTGGGCTATGGCAAATAGACAATATGACAACCTGATCTCCACAACCCCACCTCTTGTAAAGACCTGCTTTTATAACCCTAGAGGCTGGGAGTACACACTAGGGAACCACCCAGGAGAATGTTTAGGAATAAGTGTGAGTACAGAAACTATTTGCTAGATAACCCACTAAATAAAGTCTTAATGAGGCTTTAAAAAAAAAATAGGTGTGAGACATAGTCACTTCTCCAGCAGAACAAGAATGTTGCGCCCCAAGGGTGTCCTTAAGGGCCTAGTTGAACAAAAGGACACAATGGTCGGGGAGCTGTACTCAAGAAGGGTGGTGACAGAGGGGTCATTATAGCAGATTGATCCAGGATGATGTTAGTCTAGCTGTCACCTACCCCTCAAATCCAGCCCTTAGAGTCTTATATGCCCACCTCTTTTATGATATTCTCTGGGCTATCAGAGAAGGGCTTTTTTGCAGTAGGGGCTCCTTGACTGGACAGTGTCCAAGTTGAATGCATAATCCACGCAGCTGTAGAGACAGCAAGAAAAGAGACCTATGTTGACACAACTAAAAATGAGTAATAATTTTGCTACCATGTCCCCCAGACTCTAAACCAGTTTGATAATTACTGGGTTAAAGTGCTCACAGGACCATCTAATGCCTGTATCTCTGTATGCGTGTCTTTTAAAGCATAAGTGATACTTCCTGAATTATCAGGCTTATACACGCTTCATTTGGTTTGATATGCCCCCTTGTGCTAAGGTGAGTACATCCAAGGCCATTCTGTTTTGTGATAGGGCCTTTCACATCTTTATCATCTCATCTCTGTTGTTCATGAGTGTCAGACTATGGTAACTATTGTTGAGGATCCTCTGGGTATAATTAATTGTCTATATGCTATATCACATCTTCTGTGCCTAAAGATGGTACAGATATTCCTGCTAAATGGTCATACCAGTGAAAGACAGCATGGGTCCATCATGCCTTTAAATGGGATGAATTTGCCGAGGCTAATTTGGTGCTATCAGTGCTGTTATTATAATACATTTATTTGGAGATTACTAGACCATTTTATGAATTTCCAAACCCTACCACAAAAACTATCATCTTGCTTTTATTGGAATAATTTTTCTTAACAATGCAAGTAGATGTTCTGTCCACAAGAAGCAATAATAAATGGTCATACTTCTATCCTTCCTACCTCTTCCCCTATCTGAGCCAAAGGTTTCATTATGCATTAGTAATGTTTTTTCTCACTAACCTTACTACACGTTTCATGCATTCTAAATAATTAGTTTAGTCTGTTAGACCTTACCTAGCTCCTTAGGAGCAGTGACTATGTCGTCTTCGTTTTTAATACTCAGCACTTAAAACAGTACCAGGAGCATAGTATGTTCTGAATGTAGAAAGACTATACATAAAATCCAAGGTCCTTTCCACTTATCATATGATGTCTCTGACACAAGGGCAGGGGGTTGTGCAGGTTAGGGAGGGAAAAAATGGAACAAGATGGGATCGGGAGGGAGACCATAAGAGACTCTTCATCTCGGGAAACAAACTGAGGGTTGCTGGGGGGTGGCGGGGTAGGGATAGGGTGGCTGGGTTATGGACATTGGGGAGGGTATGTGCTATGGTGAGTACTGTGAAATGTGTAAGACTGATGATTCATGGACCTGTACCCCTGGGGCAAATAATACATTATATATTAATTTTTTAAAATTATTTTTAAATAAAAAATAAAAATAAATAAACCCCAAATCCAAGATCCTTTCAAAAAATAAGATGTCATATGGCAGTCTTTGTGCTCGTCTGTAATACTGGAGGAGAGGAAGGGTAAGGTCATTGGTTTCTAGAGTGACATTCCAATGACTCCCACCAGCCAAAGAAGGAGAAAAGAACCATAGTTGATTAATGGCAACTACAGCAGATGAAAGGAGGCATCATGTCCACTATACACTTACAAAGAACCCTTTTACTATTTAATTTTTTTAATTATGTTACTCAGTTTTAATTGGTATACTCCTTTAATTCTGATCTAGATTCATTTTCACCCCTTACTGTCAAAACCCAGTTTACTTCTGGATTCTAACTCATTATCCTCTTTCATAACTTTTCTCTCTACCCTACTTCTGTCATTCCTTTAGAGTCTCTTCCTCTGTGGCTTGGGTTACTTCAACTGCCAAAGTGGCTCCCTACCTCAGGATTTGTTCTTACTATTCCCTTCCTACTACTGCAACAGTATTACTTAAATCTGATAAAAAATCTAATCCCATATTTTTGCCTAAAATCCATAATATCCAAATTTCTTAGAATTATGCAATTTTTTACCAGTAAGTACCTCTTTATCTCTTTAGTTTTAAATACTGTTTTACACCCCATGTCTTTGCCCTTCTCATGTCTTCCTCAGGTTCACATGTGTATGTGTACACAGACACAAAACCTGCAGACATTTACATAAATCAGAAATTATTCATGTTTCAAGAATCAAGAGTTTTCTCTTTATGAAGTCTTCATGTTTCAAGTCTTCATCAAAATCTCTTTGAATCACCACTCCCTCTCTGAATCTGCTATTCTCTGCACCCTTCAGTGGATGTCTTTCTTTACCAACTTGCAGCATCCTTCAGGACAACAACGAGATCCTGCTACATTTTAATAATTATAATTAATATTCATATTTACTCCCACTCAGCTCCTCTTTACCCTTCTTGTTGTCTTTTATTTACCCATAGTAACCACATTTTCCAGAACTAAATATAAAGACAAAACCTAACAAGTGGTGAAATAATATTTTAGTGCATTTCCTTTCAGTCTTTTTGGGAATTTTTTTTTTGATACATACACACGCAGAGATAGACATTAAAAAAAAATAATTAGGACCAAACTGTGTGCTCTGTTTGTGTGTAAATATATAAAATATCTTCAGGGACGCCTGGGTGGCTCAGTTGGTTAGGCAGCTGCCTTCGGCTCAGGTCATGATCCCAGCGTCCTGGGATCAAGTCCCACATCGGGCTCCTTGCTCATCAGGGAGCCTGCTTCTCCCTCTGCCTCTGCCTGCCATTCTGTCTGCCTGTGCTTGCTCTCTCTCCCTCTCTCTCTCTGACAAATAAATAAATAAAATCTTTAAAAATAAATAAATAAATAAATAAAATATCTTCACTTGTTTTCACTTAACAATATATCATTTTTTACATTCCTATATCATAATCGTCTATAATATTATTTTAATTAACTCACATATTCCATTGTTTAAAGTACCAAAAGTTACTTAAATTATTTACTGGTTTGAATATTTTTGTTACCCACAATTTTTTGCTAACATGAAGAATGCCACACTGAATGTCACTGGAGCTAAATCTTTGCACCCCATCAGTGGTGATTCTTTACTCCAGATAAATTTCTAGAAATAGGTCAAAGGTAAGCACATATTGAAAGGTTTTGATATATACTATCAGATTGTACTTGAGAAGAATTGTGGAATTTTACAGTCCCATTAGAAATAGTAAAAAAAAAAAAGTGCTGATGTCTTTTTGTGTATATTTATTTGTATTTGTGTATATATAATGTGTGTGTGTTTTTTAGTAAGGTGGAATACTGCATGGCTTAGGTACTTGCATTGAAATAACTGTAGCTGCTATGATCAAAAAAAAGAAAAACGAAACAAAATATATGAAATGGTAATTATCCCTGTATGTTAAGAATGGCCATCATACCCCCTGATAGAGGGAACTAATTTGTCTAGAGCTTTCTCTATTGTATTAAATGTTGCAAAACTCATTTTCTTAAAACACATTAAAAATGAGTGGGCAACTTTTATTTTCCTAATTTCCTTCAGTTTAAAAATAATAATTAAAATCATAACTTAAAAAAAAGTATGATATAGAAGCCCTTAATATATGTGTTTAATTTTAGGAAGAGTTGCAATCCACTAAAGAAGAGAGATTTCCAGCAATCCACAAACCCATTGCTGTTGGTTCTCAGCCTATGCTCACTGTTGGAACAACCCACATATCCAAATTGACAGATGACCAACTCATAAAAGAGTTCCTTAGTGGTTCCTACTGCTTTCATGGGGTGAGAAGTGAACCTTTGGTTTCAGTATTTATCTAACAGCCTTCACTTATGTGCTATTTAGTCACAGGGCTGAAAAAAGTTTTTGTCAATAGAGAAATGGCAGGATTCTGGAAGCCTCCTAATGGATATTTTCTGTCTGCATCTTACTATAATCTAAGTAATAGCCATTATATTTCCTTTGTTCATAAGCTAAAACTTGACCTTTACTTACAAGCTAAACTTGACCTTTACTTGACAGAAAATACATACAACTAAGTCATGTGGGATTCTGATTGATTGCTGGAATGGGCATCAAGGACTAGATAGCCTTAAAAAAAAAAAAAAAGAAGATTGAATAGCCTACGTTTTATTTATGTGGCAATCACTTTTAAAACTTGAGTTAACATCTATAAAGGTTAAATTCTGCCCCTAATAAACTAATAATTTCAATGGGAAATACACTAAGTGGAATTTTTATTTTATTTTACCAAGGCAATACAGCAGTTATTCTCTGTATTTGTCTTTTTTAAATTATTATTTCTCAGTAATTTCTTTTTTCTGTTTATTACTGAAGTGTGGTTGACATCCGTTATGTTAGTTTCAAGCATATGTAATGTAGTGATCTGACAACCCTGTGCATTACTCAGTGCACATCACACCGAGTATATTTAATCATCTTTCACTGTATAACATTATTTCTCAGTAAATTTTTATTTTAATTTTCAACCATATTATTACTCTTAAATTTTTCTAGTTATATATATTTCTGTTATTCTCATATGGCAATACTGAGACAACCACAATCCCCCATTCTCTTTATGTAACTTGATCTGTTTTCTTTCCTATAGGGCGTTGGTTGGTGGAAATATGAATTCTGCTATGGCAGACATGTACATCAATACCATGAGGTATAGAATAGCCTTTATATCATTCTACCACTAGATAGATTAAAATTTTGAAAATCGGGGGCACCTGGGTGGCTCAGTGGGTTAAAGCCTCTGCCTTCGGCACAGGTCATGATCCCAGGGTCCTGGGATCAAGCCCCGCATCGGACTCTCCGCTCAGTGGGGAGACTGCTTCCTCCTCTCTCTCTACTTGTCTCTCTGCCTACTTGTGATTTCTGTCAAATAAATAAATAAAAAATCTAAAAAAAAAAAAAAAAATTTAAATCATTTGTGGAAAAAAAGGAGGGGGAATGGCATTTTAATCATGAAGTGACTTTAATATGAAAATACTCAAAGTGTCTCTGAGTTCTAGAAAATGGAAAACTTGGTTTTAACTAAGTCACTCATCTTAAAGTAACGTTTATTAACTCCTCAGATTCTTGTATGACTGTGACTCTGGAGGAATAATAGGCTATTGTGACTGATCTCTAGCTTTGACTGAGAAATTAGTCATTAAAATTTTTTAAATTAATAAAGTGAGTAGTAAGATAGTATGTTATGGCTCAGGTTAGGAAAATAGGGTAAATACAGCAAGTTTCTCAGCTAAAAGAACATACCATATCATCCAAATTTAAAATCAAGTAAGTTTTAAGATTGTACAATTAGCCTTTTTTTCTTCCTTTTATGTCTAATTTCATAAATCAGATAGCATTTTCTTCTGCACTTAGCCAAACTGCTTAAATTCTGAACTTCAGGCTTCAGTAAGTTTATTTGTCATAATTGTACCTTGTTTGGTAAGGTAAACTGCTAGACGTTGAAGACAAACATTAATTAATAAATATTCATCTGGCTGTTTTAAACATCTCTTTTTATTCCACCAAAGAAATAATAACTAGTAATTTAAAAATACTGTCTTGGGCTCCTGGGTGGCTCAGTGGGTTAAGTCTTTGCCTTTGGCTCATGGTCATGATCTCAGGGTTCTGGGATCAAGCCCTGCATCTGGCTCTCTGCTCAGTGGGGAGCCTGCTTCCCCCTCTCTCTCTGCCGGCCTCTCTGCCTGCTTGTGATCTCTTTCTCTCTTTCTCTGTCAAATAAATAAATAATATCTTTTAAAAAAAACAAAACAAAAAAAAACACTGTCTTTACCCTCTTGAGATGTTGTGAGTCAGTCTTAAATTCCAAGACAGATCATAACAGGAAAGATCAACTCAACCTTCCACATTTAAATCAATCCAAATTGGGGCACCTGGGGGGCTCAGTGGGTTGAGCCCCTGCCTTCGGCTCAGGTCATGATCTCAGGGTCCTGGGATCGAGCCCCACATCAGGCTCTCTGCTTGACAGGGAGCCTGCTTCCCTCTCTCTCTCTGTCTCTGCCTGCCTCTCTGTCTACTTGTGATCTCTCTCTCTCTGTCAAATAAATAAATAAATAAATAAAAATTTTTTTTAAAAATAAATCAATCCAAATTTATGAGGCATCTGTAAACTAGGAGATTTTATTTCTCTGCTTAAATCTGAGAGATGCCATTTGACTCTTCTTCTCACTTCTTGCTACTATGTAGAAGTTTCATTTATTTTTAATAATATTTATTAATAGAAAAAAATATTACCTAACTATAGCCCAGATAATACCTAGTTGCTTTGTTTTTTGTTTCTTTTTTTTAAGATTTTATTTATTTATTTGACAGAGACACAGCAAGAGAGGGAACACAAGCAGGGAGAGTGGGAGAGGGAGAAGCAGGCTTCCTGCTGAACAGGAAGCCCAATGCAGGGCTGGATCCCAGGACCCTGGGATCATGACCTGAGCCGAAGGCAGATGCTTAATGACTGAGCACCCAGGCGCCCCAGTTGCTTTGTTTTAAATTAAAGGAATATGCTCCAGAAATTTAGAATGAATAGTAAAATTCTCCTCCACCATTGTCCCATTTCCTAAAAGTAATTGCTGTTAACATTTTCTTAGTTAACCCTCCTCAAGAAAAAAAAAAAAGGCATATACATAAATGGTAGTATAACTAGTAAATACACTGTTCTGCACTTATTCTTTTCAGTTAGTATCTTGGAGATCTTTCTGTGCTATCAACAGCTGATCTCATTTTTTTTTAGCAGGTACAGAGGAGTATATTTATACTCACAATGTATTTAGCCAGATCTCTACTGACAGATCTTTGAATGATTTCCAGTTTTTGCTGTGATAGCATCTTAGTGAGCATTTATAAATAGTTTTGTTGGTAAACATCTGCAAGTATATTCATAAGGCACATTTCTAGCAATGGATTTGCTGGTCAAAATTATGCATACTGAATATTGCCTCCCAGGGACGCCTGGGTGGCTCAGTTGGCTAAGCGTCTGCCTTCAGCTTAGGTATGATCTGAGGGTCCTGGAATTGAGTCCTGCATCAGTCTTCTTGCTCAGCGGGGAGCCTGCTTTTCCCTCTGCCTGCCGCTCCCCCTTCTTGTGCTCTCTCTCTGGCAAATAAATAATATAAATAAATATAAATAAATATATAACATTGCCTTCCAAAAAGTTGTAAGGCATTCCCATTAACAATGACTTTAAAATACACACATGTACACACATGACTTTTTTTTTCCATACACTTGCCAACACTAGGTTTTATCAAACTCATTTTGCCCAAGGTCATATAAACTAGAACTTTCTGAGGGACTCTGCTAGGAACTTTGGGAGATAAACAAATAATAGTAGCTAACAAATATAATACTCATTGTATACCAGACACTGTTCTAAGTATGCATATTAACTCGATCCTCATAACAACCATTAAGAGGTGACTGTTGTTCTTCCAAGGTGAGGATATGAGTTTAGTAACTTGCCTAAAACCACATTCGGAGTAAATGATGAAACCAGAGTTCTGACGCAGGCAGTCTTGCTCCATATCCAGCCTCTTTTATTCTTTTTAAAGATTTTTCAAAGATTTTATTTATTTATTTATTTGACAGAGAGAGAGAGAGAGAGAGAGATCACAAGTAGACAAAGAGGGAAGCAGAGAGAAAGAGGGAAGCAGGCTCCCTGCTGAGCAGAGAGCCTGATGGGGTTTGGATCCCAGGACTCTGAGATCATGACCTGAGCCGAACAAAGGCAGAGGCTTAAGCCACTGAGCCACCCAGACTTCCCCATATCCAGCCTCTTAAACATTTCACTTTGCAGCTTCAGTCCCTGTCTATCTAGTAACTTACAGTCTGGTTGCTAAAAGAATGTTAAATCGTTGTCTCTTCCACTAGGCAGTAAGCTCTGCTAACAGCAGTGGCTGTGCCTCTTTCATCTACCACTCTAAGGGTTTCTAATTCTACTAATCACATGTATGCTAAATTCTAGTGCTCAGCATGTTGCCTAGCATGAAACATGAAGAAGGAAAGGAAGACAGGAAGAAAGGGAGGGGAGAGGAAATAAAAGGAGAGAAGTCCTCATATAAGACAGTATATAGTTTGTGTTTAAAAAAAATTAACATAATGGGGAAGGAAGTTTCTGAACAGACAGTCTTGATACAGAAATAAACATGATATCAAATAAGTACTGTGAATACTCATATAACTTGCAGATTGGCATTTGAAAGAGTAGAAGTAGAATGGAGGTAGGCTCAGCAGGTCTGCAGATAAGAGATATAGGCCAGAGATTTAATTAAGAGTCACAGTAGTGGGGCGCCTGGGTGGCTCAGTTGGTTAAGTGTCCGACTCTTTATCTCAGCTCAAGTCTTAATCTCAGGGGAGTTTAAGCCCACACTGCGTTCCATGATGGGTGTGGAGCCTACTTTTTAAAAAAAAGAAGAATCACAGTAGTATGCAGTTACATCACTTAGGTATGAGAAATTAAACTCTTGGTTGGAGGGGTGAGATGCTGGCATTGGAAATGTAGAGGAAGAGTCTGAAGCCAAGAGCATCTCCAGGAAAACAATGGACAAAACCAATAAATGTAGGAGAGGAAGGAAATAAAAGAGTCAAACATAACTGCATGTGGAGCTAGCCTGACCAGGAAGTAGTTAGATTATTCAGAGAAACAGGGAACAAAGAAGGTAACAGACTTGACTAGCATTGTTTGACTAACATCTAAACACTCGTCTGCAGCGTGCAGGTGAAGATAAGGACTATAACTTATAGGCCATCGGGATAAATGTGTACTTGATGATATCAAGGATTCCTTACAAATACCTTTTCATATATTAGGACAAAGATAGTGGGAAGACCTCTGTGGTTGTGGGTACATGGAACCAAGAAGAGCATATTGAATGGGCTAAGAAGAATACTGCTAGAGCCTATCACCTTCAAGATGATGGTACCCAGACAGTCAGGTAAAGATTAACCTTATTTGCCTCTGGATTAGAATATTTAAAACTCAGAATATTGAGAAGCATAAAATTTAAACACTTAAGTAAAATCTCCGGTCAGTTTTTCTCAGGGACATCTTTTAAATTAGATTTCTTTTCCTAAGATAATTAAGAACACAGTTAAGAACACAGTTGCAGAAGTGGTGGGTTTCGGGAATGGGGGTGGGGGGCTGGATTCAAATGCTGGCTCTTCACTTACTACCTTGGGTAAATTACATAATCTTCTTAAGTCTCATTTTTCTTGTTTATGGGCATTTGCCTCATAGGATTGTTATGACATTTTAATGATCATGTATGCAACACAAGTGCCTGCAACAGCTTGTAGTAAATTCTGGCGGCTGCCGTTAGCAGCGGTGGTGGTGTGGTGAGAGAGAGTGCTGGGGGCTGCTTTGTGACACTGGCTTAATTCCAGCCATTAGGTCAGAAAGCTGTTAGAAAGCTGTTAGAAAGCATTGCCTCTTCCATGTGTCCTGTTTACCTTTTCAAGTTAGTTAATTCTATTTTAATTTGTTCTAGCATTTCCCTTGTCACTTGACTTCTATGAGGTTATGATTGAAAATAAACAGTGGCTCTCTGAAAAACTATCTCACAACTTCTTTGAGTTACATCTTGTTACAGCAAGAATAACTAAGCTTTAGTTTTCTTGTAGTCTCTTACTTGGACAATCTTAAATTATTCATTCTTCTTTCTTGGGTATTAACTTTGTCCTTCCTAGTACAGATGGCATTAAGAGACTCTGTTTTTAGAGTGTGCTGACCTCAGGGTGCCTGGTTGCATCAGTCCATAGAGTGTGGGACTCTTGATCTCAGGGTTGTGAGTTCTAGCCCCACATTGGGTTAAAAATAAAAATCTTAAAAAAAAAAAAAATGGGGGCGCCTGGGTGGCTCAGTGGATTGAGCTTCTGCCTTTGGCTCAAGTCATGGTCTCAGAGTCCTGGGATCGAGCCCCGCATCGGGCTCTCTGCTCTCTCTCTGCTTCCCTCTCTGCCCACTTGTGATCTCTGTCTGTCAAATAAATAAAGAAAAGAAAAGAAAAGAAAAAAGAAAAGAAAAGAATGTATTGACTTCTTGGGCTAACCAGAATCAAAGTTAGCAAAATTAAGCGATGGGCATTTAAGTATTAGAATATGCTAAACAAGATTGACTTTTCTTACATTCAGGTATGTTTCATGTGGAAGTAGGTCATGGTGTTATGAGCAACGCATATTGAAGCACAGGAGCATAAGGCTAGCGAAATTAAAAAATTTTTTAGATCCTGCTCATCTCGAAATTGTATGTTAACCTAGGCTCTACTTTTGTATACCTGCATGACAGTCTTTTAATGAGTGGAGCTGGCTGGAGGATGGCAAAAAGGGAAAAATGTGCCACAAAGTAAATACACAGGGCTCAAGAAATGGTTCACTTCAAAAGGACTTTTTAAAAAACCCTTTAACCTTAACTGTTTGTACACAAAAAATGATAGGCAAATTGAAGATTATTAATTAAATCATTCCACAGTATTTCAGTTTTATATTCTCCTTATAGAATCTGATTTTCATGGTGACATGACCCTAAAAATATTTTATAACTAATGCAAAACTGATCCCTCTAACCATTTTCTCACCCTCCCCATTACAATTACTCTGAATTAATGAAGTTTTGGTTAATAAAACTTGTGTGTTTCTCTGGTTTAGGATGGTGTCACATTTTTATGGGAATGGAGATATTTGTGATATAACTGACAAACCAAGACAGGTCACTGTAAAACTAAAGTAAGTTGGACCATCAGTTCATGCTTTATGCTTCTCTTTAATCTGCTTCCAGTGGGTAAAAGTTTATATAAATGGTGGCTCAGTGGGTTAAGCCTCTGCCTTCAGCTCAGGTCATGATTTCAGGGTCCTGGGATTGAGTCTCGCATCAGGCTCTCTGCTCAGCGGGGAGCCTGCTTCCCTCTCTCTCTGCCTGCCTCTCTGCCTACTTGTGATCTCTGTCAAATAAGTAAATAAATCTTTTAAAAAAATTTATATAAATGTAAAATATAATTGTGAATAATTATATTTATGCATAATAATATATGGATTGATTTAATATAAAATTATTACTTTATTCCAAAATATTAAAATTGGAGTACCTGGCTGGCTCAGTCAGTGGATCATGCGACTCGATTTCGAGGTTGAGAGTTTGAGCCCCACATTGGTTGCAGAGATGAAAGAAAGAAAGAGGAAGGAGCGCCTGGGTGGCTCAGAGATTGAGGCTTCTGACTTCGGCTCGGGTCATGATCTCAGGGTCCTGGGATCGAGCCCCGTGTCGGGCTGCTTCCTCCCCATCCTGCCGGCCTTTCTGCCTACTTTTGATCTCTCTCTGTGTTAAATAAATTAAAAATCTTAAAAAAAAAAAAAAAAAAAAGGAAAGAAAGAGGAAGAGAGCAAGAAACTTTAAAAGATATATTTTAAAAATAAATAAAATATTGGGGCATCTGGGTGGCCGACTCTTGGTTTCAGTTCAGGTCATGAGCCCAGGGTCATGAGACTGAGCCCCACATCTGGCTCCGTCCTAAGGGTGCAATCTCCTTGAGATTCTCTCCCTCTCCCTCTGCCCCTTCTTCTCTTCACTCGTGCGCTCTCTCTAATATAAATAAGTAAAATATTTAAAGATAAATAAAATACTAAAATTATTTCAATATAATTATTTGTAAGTTACAATGGTTTTTAAATTATATTATTTCAGTTATTTATTATATTAAGTTATACAGGGCTACCTACATGAGATTTGTATAGCTTAAAAGGAAAATAGTTAAAAATACTTTTGTACACCAGTTGGTTAAGCAGCTGACTCCTGATTTCAGCTCAGGCCCTGATTACAGGGTCATGAGATCAAAGCCCACGTCAGGCTCTGGGGTCAGCAAGGCATCTGCTTGGGATTCTCTTTCCCTCTCCCTCTGCATCTCCCCACCACCTACCCCCGCCCCAACTCACCTGTGTGCACATATGTGCGCTCGCTCGCTCTCTCAATTAAGTTTTTTTAAAATAAAAATACTTTTGTATGGTTTGGGCAGTACTTTAAAGTGCTCTCTGGGGCCTCCTGGGTGGCTCAGTGGGTTAAGCCTCTGCCTTCGGCTCAGGTCATCATCTCAGGTTCCTGGGATTGAGCCCCGCATTGGCCTCTCTGCTCAGCAGGGAGCCTGCTTCCTCCTCTCTCTGTCTTCCTCTCTGCCTACTTGTGATCTCTCTCTCAAATCAATAAATAAAATCTTGAAAAAGATAAAAATAAAGTGCTCTCTGTTTCAGGTGTAAAGAATCAGATTCTCCTCATGCTGTTACTGTGTATATGCTAGAGCCTCACTCCTGTCAGTATATCCTTGGGGTAAGTACAAAAATAATACTCAGGAATTCAGTTTGGGAACATGTTTCTGTTTTTAAGAATTAAGTCTTGAAAGGACCCTCAGTAATCTCCGAAATTTAATATAGTCCCCATACTATCTCATAAAAGCTAAAATCTTTTTTATTGAGGTACAATTTACAAAAAATAAAATGCAGAGATCTTAAGTGTTGAGTTTGATACACTTTGATAATTTTATATACCGATGGAACTAGCACCCAAAACAAGGTATCTGTCACTGCAGAAAAATGGTTTATACCCCTTTTATGTCAAGACCCCAGCCCCCAGAGATACCCTTTTCTTCTTCCTGACACAATAGAGCAGTTTTGCCTGTTTTTTTTTTATTATTCCACATGAATGGGATCATACAGTATATTGTTTTTTATGCCTGCCCTCTTTAACTTGGCATGTTTTTTGACTCAGCCATGTCACTCTAGTATTTCATTCTCTTTTTAGTACTGAATAGTATTCATTTGTATACACATTTGCTTATTCATTCTTCTATATGAACATTTGGGTTTCTCATTTTTTATTATGTGAATGAGGCTGCTGTGAACATTTTTTTTAACAAGTCATTTTGTGATCATGTATTTTCATTTCTTTTGGGTAAGTACCCAGGTGTGGAACTAAATCATAGACTAGATACATGTTTAGCTTTTACCAAATAGTCATCCAAGTGCTTGTACCATTTTATATTCGTACCAGTAATACATGAGAGTCCAAGTAATACACCAGTAATACATCCTCCACATCCTCCTCAACATTTGGTATCCGGAGTCTTTTTTTCTTTTAGCCACTTTAGTCATTTTAATATGTATTTCCCATATGGAAAATGGTGTTGAGCAGCTTTTCTTGTGATTGTTCATTCATAGATCTTTGTGAAGTACCTAGCCAAGTTCTTTTTTTTTTTTTTTTTTTTTTAAGAAAAATTATTCTGACACTTATTAAAACAGTCTTTATTCAGGACTGTTGGCAGTAAGTGTGTCAAGACTTTCACAGTAGGAAAGAGAGATCCAGCTTAACACTACATACAGCCAAGACAGCTGGGGATGTACAGCCAGTGAGCAGAAGGTGGCAGCGTGGGGGTGGCTCAGTGGATGGAAAATTACTAAAAGGAGACATCAGCTTAACTGAGTCAACAGGATTACTGCTGAAGACAGGCCAGGATGATCAGCTCTCAAAGGTGAGAGATGAGGAATTTGATGAGCTATGGAATGGATGATTAGGTGTTGAGGGTGAGGGGTTCTCTCTACACTGGCTTATCAGGATTCTTGCAACAACTGGACTACAGGGCACAAGTACAAGAAGAGGCATAGCCAAAAAGAGGAATTGGGGATCCTTACTTCAGTTTGGTCAAGGAGACTCTGTCATCTGTTAGTCTTTACCCCTTTTTATTGTTGTTGTTTGTCTTCTTATTTTTAGAAGTTCAGATACATTCTGGATATGAGTTCTTTTATTTATAGTGCACACTTTCTTTCCTCAATCTGTGGCTTACCTATTTATTTTCCTAATGTCTTTTGAGCAAAAGTTTATTTGATCAAGTTTATTTTAACCAGTTTTTCCTTTTTATGGCTAGTGCTTTATTTTGTTCTAAGAAATGTTGCTACCCCAAAGTCATGAAAATATAACCCTAGGGCACCTAGGTCACTCAGTTGGTTAAGCAACTGCCTTTAGCTCAGGTCACAATCCTAGAGTCCTGGGATCGAGTCCCACATCGGGTTCCCTGCTTGTCCCTCTGACCCTCCCCACTCTCATTCACTCTCTCTGTCTCTCATTTTCGGTCTCTCTCTCTCAAATAAATAAAAATCTTTAAAAATTTTTTTAAAAAGAAAATATTATCCTATGTTTCTATCTAGAAACTTTATGGTCTTGCCTTTGGTTATACGATGCCTAAGAGTGGCTTTCTCTGTATTTTTCCTGGTCAGAGTTCACAGAGCTTTTTGCATGTATGGGTTGATATTATTTATCAGTTTTGGGAAAATTTTACATTTTTGTGAATATACATTTAACAGATTTATACATATGTATTCATGCAGAAGAACACTGAATAACGTATTCAGTTTAGCAACTTTTTAATGGCTTTATTGTTTTTGTCTTTAGGTTGAATCTCCAGTGATCTGTAAAATCTTAGATACAGCAGATGAAAATGGACTTCTTTCTCTCCCCAACTAAAGGATAATAAAGTTTAGGGAAAGAAAAGATCATTGACAGTCATGATTTCTGTCCAACCATGTGTCTCATTGTAGAGTTCTCAGCCATTGAACCTCATCTAAAGGATCGTATAAAAGGACTCTCAACCACTTTGTGAATATGTATGTGTATATAAGAGGTTATCGATAAACTTCTAAGGCAGATAATTGTCTCACTTCTTTCATTTTTGTTGTGTCTTATAAACTGATTGTATTTCTTGCTTGGATAATGTGATTCCAAAATAAATCTCATCCAAGCAATTCACAGTCCAGCCTAATGAAAGATCATAATTGTACCTATTGAAAGTTTTTAAATAATAGATTTATTATGTAAATTATAGTATATATAACTAGTTAATGAACTAAAGATAATGAAGAAGGAAATTGATAGGTTGTTTAAATCGGAGGTTGTTTAAATCGGAGACCATGTAAAATATGTAAATTCTAGTGCCTGAAATCCTTTCAACAAATTTTTATTTACAACTGCTCTCTACCAGGTATTAAACTAGAAACTGGGCACATAATAGAGCCTCACAACATTTAAGTTTTCTTCACTTCTGTTAATCTCAAGAAACTCTTACTTGTAAGAGGTTGTTTCTCTCTTGGAACTTTTAATCTGTTTCTTTCTCCCTGATGTGAATGTGTTTTTCCCCGAGGTATATGCACCTCGTGTAGACAGACATTCTTCTCTCTTGACTTAGAATGGTTTACTCCAACGAAACACACTGTGCTGGCCAGCCTTTATACTTGCCTGCTGTATACTACAGATTTTAGTTCTGGACAGTTTTACAGCACAATATTTATTTTGAAGTGAATAAAAAGTTCACAAGCAGCGTTGTCATGTATTCAATAGTAGATTATTCCTTTCCTTTATTTTCTCCATCACTATGTTGCACAGAACATTATCCTGTTGTATTTTGGATGTACATACCTAAATAAGGACAGAATAGTGGCTATAAAATGCTTTACTTTTCCTCCTTTTCAGTAGTTCTGGCCAAAGATACTTTCGTTTGAGAAGTGGTTAATGCAATTAATTATTGCAGGTCTGTTTGTAGATTTTAGTGCAAAGCAGCACATACGGAAAGAGCACAGACCTTGCATTCAAACCGAAGTCCCAGATACTCTCTTTAACTTCTAGCTGTGTGATCCTGCACAGATCAGTAACATTTTGAGCCTCACTTCCTCTGTAAAGAAACTACTCGTTTTAGAAGATAGTTGTAGTAGTGCCTTACTTGCCCTGTAAGTAAAAGCCTAGGCCCAGTACCAGTTCCCAGTAAGAGTTGGTTTACTTCCTAATATTGCCCTTGTCTCCTAATAATAGAGTAAGATCACAGACTACAGCCATTAAAATTTTTTTCTTTGAGGGCGCCTAGGTGGCTCAGTCAGTTAAACATCCAATTCTTGATTTTGGCTCACAACTTAATCTCAGGGTCATGGGATTGAACTCCCCCCACTGTCCCCTCTCATGGGCTCTCTCTCTCAGATAAATAAATCTTTAAAAACAATAGATTCTCTCCCTCTCTCCCCCCCCATCTCTTGCATACTCTCTCTAAACAGAAAAAAAAAGTTCTTTAATATAAAATCATGCTTCTTACAACAATTAATTAGACAAACAGAATTACCCACATTTAGATTATAGGTGTAGGAAGGGAGGGAATGAGAACTGTGAAAGGTTAGTGCCAGAAGATACTTTTAGAATATTTAGGTCAAATTCTTTTCTTAAAAGGGAGAAAAAAAAAATCTAAAAAACTATTTGGATAGTTTACTGCAGAAGATACTTAAAAAGAGAAGTTGTAATTATTTCAAAATAAGTTAAAAAAATAAGCTTTCTGTTTGGGTAACCATTTGAACTTCTTTGAAGGAAGGACTAGGCCAGCTATCTCCATATTCTTTCTAAATCTTAGGTTCCTTAGTAGTCTGTGAAATCTTGTTTGAGCTCTAAATTTTGTGCGGCCACCTCTGCTGTGCAGGCTGCTTCTCTTCTGTAGAAGTAACTGAGTTCCTAATAGGGAGGGGAAAGGGCTCGTCTATAATACACTTGATGCACTTGGAGAAGTCTATGAAGGCGGGTGCTGTCCCAGAGCTACCTGATCGGATCATACAGACAGTATAATCTGCATTTTAAACATAATTCCTGAGTGATCCTCTTTATTTTAAATATATTCTCCAGTGGAGAATCACAGACTTAGGAGCTTCACTTTTAACAATTTCACACATTCTAACCCTCCTGGTAAGAGTTTCAGGGAAATCACTAGTAGCTCATCTGTACAGAAAGACTGGGGCAAAAAAAAAAAGAAAGACTGGGGCAAGACTTTCCTTTTTTTTTTTTTTAGCTTTACCTGCTTTTCTTTGAGTCACCACTAGATGGGGCCTATGCCCAGCTCTAGTTTATATCCTGATGTCCTTACCTAAAGGAACTTTGGCAACAGAGGACAAGATTATCTCAGTTACCTGAATAGTAAGCTTTGTGTATCTCCCCTGGTGAGCAATACTTCTCACCCAGTCTGACAAAGTCCTGACCTGATTTCTGACAACTCTTAAACTTCCTAGTACACAAGCAGGCCAAATTGCTGACCTAGTAGCACCAAAGATCTAACCTAAAAGGGCTTAAGCTAAACAGGAAAATGAAAATCAAGACTTGTTGCGTTTTGAATAAATAGGACATGCAATCACAGTTTGAAATGAAAATATCAGCTATCCTGAGATCTGATTTTAAATTCCCTTCCTAGTGAAGTTACTGAAGTAAAAGTTTTCAAAAATAGGTTGCCACGGTGACATGGGTTAAGCAAAAATCCATTCTCCATTTCTTTTTTTCAGTTGTTTGGCAGGGGTAGTAGAGGAACCAGGGCCAACTACATACCCGGTGGCTTGCTTTGTTTCACAGGCCAGTAGTCTTCAAGTAGGTTGTATAAGCAGGCACGATGATCCAGTGCATTATGGGGGAAAAAATACTAGAAATTCTATAAAACTTCATCTGTGAAAAAGGAATTAAGCTTTTATTTTTATTTAATATTTAATGGGTGGACTAACAGTAGTATACAGAGTCATTCATAAATCAGGTTTTGTTTAATAACCAAATGACTTGAGAGAAGGGTAAGCATTATCTGTGCAGTGGAGGTGATGGAGATACCATCATTATTTACTTCCACCATATACAGCATTGCAGGTTAAATTACTGCCTCCATCATCTTCCAGAAAATGGAATTGTCAGTTTAAATATTACCATCAAGACCACACATTATTAGGTATATAACCAATCAGGGTGAGAGGTTAACAGGTTACTTTTCACCTATCATGGCTCCAGCCACTGTGGTCCTGGTATCTAACAACATTTCTCTAGTAGAAATAACAGGGGTTTTTTTAATGATTTTTTGCAGCGTCAGGAAGAATGAGCCTGCTTTCCTCCCTGGCAATTAGAGGAAACCTCAGTATGAAGACTATTGGAATTCCATTCTTTAACACTTAGAGAAAATGCCCCTCTCTCCTGACAGTCTCAAAACTCAAAAGAAGAAAGCCAAAATTACTCACAAGTGGAATATAGGGCTTGTAGTGTTGTGCGTCCATACCTATTTGTAAATTTTTAAGCATTTTAAGTCTTTTTTTACATTTGAAACAAAAAGTATTCACCAAAAGCAAGTAAATCTAGTAAAACTTAGGGAAATGGTAACCATCTCACCTATGGAAGACATTTGTGAGAGTGTAAAATAATGCTCAACATCTCGTCTCATCACGTATAACAGTGTATATATTTCAAATCTATTAAATTCCTTTCTGGTACCTTTCAATAGACTACATTGTACTTTGCCTTGAATTTAAGGAAAAAAACAATTTCCTGTATAGTACATAATTTTGATTTTGTAAATGTATGATATTAAAGGTCAAACTCTCACAGGAGTGGGAGATACAGGCTTCCAGCTATAGAATAAGTCACAGGGATGAAAGGCATAGCATAGGGAATATAGTCAATGGTGTAATAGCATTGTATGGTGACTGATGATAGCTAAGCTTGTGGTGAGCAGAGCATAATGTATAGAGCTGTCAAATCATTATGCTATATACCTGAAACCAGTGCCACATTGTGTGTCAGCTATATTTCAGTTAAAAAACAAAAGTGCAGGGTGCCTTGGTGACTCAGTTGGTCAAGCCCTGCATGGGGTTCCCTGCTCAGCATGGAGTCTGCTTCTTCATCTCTCTGCCTGCCACTCCCCCTGCTTGTGCTCTCTCTCTGACAAATCTAAAAAAAAAAAAAAAAAAAGGTGATCTACCACCAAAAATGATTTTTTTTTCAAAATTTCTTTAAAAGGGGCACCTAGGGGTGCCTGGGTGGCTCAGTGGGCTAAAGCCTCTGCCTTTGGCTCGGGTCATGATCTCAGGGTCCTGGGATCAAGCCCCACATCGGGCTCTCTGCTCAGCAGGGAGCCTTCTTCCTCCTCTCTCTCTCCCTCTCTGCCTACTTGTGATCTCTGTCAAATAAATAAATAAATAAAATCTTTAAAAATAATAATAATAATAATAAAAGGGGCACCTGGGTAGCTCAGTGGCTTAAAGCCTCTGCTCAGGTCATGATCTCAAGGTCCTGGGATCGAGCCCCGCATCGGGCTCTTCGCTTAGCAGGGAGCCTGCTTCCTCCTCTCTCTCTGCCTGCCTCTCTGCCTACTTGTGATCTCTGTCTGTCAAATAAATAAATAAAAATTCTTTTAAAAAAATTCCTTTAAAATCCAACAACTTGGGGTTTAAAACCCAATTAGTCAAATCTACTCTTCTCTCTAAATTCACTCAAAAGATAGACCAAAATAGCAAACTTTGTTAGGTTTTACCAGCTTCTATGTTCAAATAAAATACTAGTTTGCAAATTAGTCACCAGTGGTCCTTAATAGCAGTAAAAGCAAATTTACACATTTAAGACTTCTTTTTTAGGATTTACTTACTATAGAGAGAACAAGCACAAGTGGGGAGGGGCAGAAGGCGAGGCTAAAGAGAGAGAACCTCAAACAGCCTTCCCACTGAGCACAGAGCCCCAGTGCAGGGCTGGATCCCATGACCCTGAGATCAGGACACCCCAATCGAAACCAAGAGTCAGACACTCAACCAACTGAGCCACCCAGGTGCCCCATGATTTACTCATTAAAGAATTCTATCCGAGCTTTAAATATTACCCATAGATTTAAATGTCAACAGGGGGTCAAGGAAATTGGGAGTCATTCTCCCCCTGGATCAGGTTTTTTTTTTTTTTTTTTTTTAATTTTTAAAAAGATTTTATTTACTTATTTATTTTAGAGAAAGAGAGGGAGAAAGCATGGGCATGGGTTGGGAGAAGCGGTGCAAAGGGCGAGGGAGGATCTCAAGCAGACCCCGTGCTAAGTATGGAGCCCTAAAGGGGGCTCAGTCTCACTGCCCAAGATCATGACTTGAGCTGAAACCAAGAGTCGGTCACTTAACGGAATGAACCACCCAGGCGCCCCACCCCTGAATTAGTTTTTGTATTTATAGGTTTTAGTGCTCTTAAGTCATAGTAACAGAAATCATTTGTTGGAAAAGCTTTTGTCAACCACCTTCAAGAAAGTGTTTCAGCCCCAAACAAGCCAGTTGTGAACAATCTTGAGTCATTATTCCTTGAATCTCAGATGACAGACTACCCCAGACTCTGCTTTTATAATAAAAATGGTAGCTGCCACTTTCTGCACGTTGATAAATATGAGGCACTATGCTAAACACTTCAGACACCTTGTCATCACAACCCTGTGAGATGGCCTTACTATCTTTAACTCCCAGATGAGGACAATGAGGCTCCAAGAGGGGAACTCAAAGGCCTGTGGCTGAGCCAGCTTTGGAATCAG